AACGGTGTGCTTCAAGTTTAAGCCCTAGCACATTTATTAAAGTCTAAGATATATTAAGCGACTTTTTCTGCGTAGAATATAGTTATATTGGACATCCAAAGTTATTTTTGCAAACCTCAGCGTCTTTATAAATTTAAGCTGTTATCCACGATGTCAGTCCATCCCGTCGTTCTTGCAAGTTAATATTAAAAGATAGGCATATAGTGCTATGGACATTTTTAGCTCATTTCAAGAGGAATAATTCCTTGGTACATAATTTTTGGGTATCTTGAACCATTTTCGCACGCACGCAACAGATGTCATCAAAGATCTTTTTACCTCGTATCTTTTCACATTTCTCATTGTTTCATCGCTCCTATTGGTCGCGTCGATGTTTTATAGCCTAAAGTCTCCTTCGATAAATGCTCTAACCAACACCAAGTATTTTTTCAATTCAAATCTTTCTGGGTTTAGCGCGTTGAAACCCTTCAGCTTTATATGACATAAGTCTGTATTTTGACTTTTGACATTTAAAACAAACTTACCCCAACAAGGTGATAGATAGTCTTATCAACACATTGTAAGCTATTAATAATGAACTACAGTTTTGACAACATTTAGTATTGTAAACTGAAACAACTAATACAGGTTTGGTAATAGCTGTCCATTTTGCGTATATGATTACGTATAAATTATGAAGAATTTGTTTCGTATAGGACTTTAGTTAAAAAGCAAATAAAAATAGCATACGAAATGTACGTAGACAAACTTCAACATAAATTTTTTCATAATCCAAAATCATTCTGGCAATTTATTAGGGCTCAACGGAGGAATTTACACGATTGTAAAATTATTCAGGATGGAAAATTACTTACTGATAGCGAGTGTGCAGTACATTTTGCACGGTACTTTGAAAGTGTCTATGGAAAGGATTGTCCAAACTTAGATTGGAATGAGGCATCTAGATGGGGGAACAGCGGTGCAAGAGTTGAGGTAAAAGAGCTAACTCTGAAAGATGTCAAGAAGGCGCTGTCGCGGCTCAAGCCAAAGACATCTGCGGGGCCAGATGGGTTACCGGCCTTTCTTTTTAGAGATTGTGGCAGAGTACTGGCTGAACCATTGCAGCACATATTTAATACCTGTCTTAAAGCAGATACTTTTCCTAGTCAATGGAAAACCACTAAGGTTGTACCTGTGCCCAAGGGTAAACCTGGATCGGAGATGGCAGGCTATAGACCAGTGGCAATTCTTTCTACACCAGCAAAAGTGTTCGAGTCGACGATACATGCCGCTGTTTTTCCTCAGATAGCTGCGAGAATCTGTGAAGCTCAGCATGGTTTTAGGCCCGCTAGGAGTACTGCGACAAACTTGCTCAGGTTAATGAATTACGTTATTCCTAATGTTGACTCCGGGGGAGAAGTCGACGTGGTGTACCTGGATATGCAGAGGGCTTTTGATACCGTGAACCAGGACATCCTTTTAAGGAAGATGGCGGTTATGGGATACACTCCGCGACTGCTGCGCTTTTGGTCTTCATACATGAGGGACAGAAAGCAATATGTTGAGTATAAGGGCTGGTGTTCTGAGCCATATTTTACACGTTCGGGAATAAGCCAGGGCAGCAACCTTGGACCCTTGGGGTTCAGCATAATGGTCAACGATCTCCCTCAAGTCATTCAGCACAGCCAATGTCTAATGTTTGCAGATGACCTGAAAATATTTCTGAAGTGTCAAAGCAAGTCAGATTGTGAAATACTGCAAAATGATGTCACAAATGTGTTGAACTGGAGTATCCAGAATAAGCTGAGCTTCAATACCAAGAAGTGCGCTGTCCTGCAATTTACTCGATCAAGGACGGCCCAGACATATAATTATAAGGTGGGAGAGGTCTTTTTGGAACGAGTTATGGAAGTGAGGGATCTTGGCGTTCTCTTTAGTGCAGATCTTAGATTTAGGAATCATATTGTTAGAGTATGCAAAGCAGCCTACCGGAGTCTGGGATTTGTGCTGAGACAGGCGAGGGACTTCACTAGCATGCCAACCGTGAGAGTGCTGTATGATGCACTAGTTAGAAGCCATTTGGAACATAATGCTACAATATGGGCACCTCACGAAGAAAAATACTGTGCTATGTTGGAAAAAATCCAAAACAAATTTGTAAGACATTTGTATTTTAAAATGTACGGAATTTATCCATATTATCCTCTTATGTACCCGACACTCTTTGTGCTGGGAATGGTGGGCTATAATAAGTTGAGAGTAAGAAGGGATTTTGCTCTAGCTACTTATATCATTAAATTATTAAGAGGGAAAGTATGCAACATCGGCGTCCTAAGCAGGTTAAGCATAAACGTGCCTGACTGCTATAGGGACAAAAGACACGCGCCACCTCTTCTCGTGGTGCCTTTTGCTAGAACGAACTTAATGGCAAAGGCACAATGGACGAGGACGGTCGAGGTCCTAAATGTTTTGCACAAAAAAGCAGATATTTTTTACAGTCCTTGGGGTGAACTCACAAATACATTAAAGTTTATTTTGAGTTATGAACGATAGTTTGGTTTAAGTTCATATATATTTGTTCTATCATATATAATTATATTGTTTAGTTTTTAGATCTCTGTCGCATTGGGATCCAACCTGTTATGACAGTGCATATATGTAAATAAATGTAAATAAATAAATAAAAATAAAAAAATAAACGTTTTTCATTAAACAGAAAAAACTTATTAAATCGCAGATTGTCTAGTAATAAACGGTTTTGCGTGACCGTTCTGTCACGGTTGGTTAAATTAGAAATCAATCATTTTACGAGTTACATTATTTGATAAATAAACACGTATTTGATTTTTTTATATCACTAGCTGACCCGGCAAACGTTTTTTTGCCATATAAAGTCTCGACCAAATTTGATCACCATGAAAACGTTTCTTATTAGTTAAAGAAGAATATTTAAAATGTGTTTTATTTTCTATTCTATTCTATTTTCAACGGTTTAAAACACGATATATATTACTATATCTTATAACGTAACGTTAGACGACTGTAACGTCGGGCCGAAGTTTTTTAAAATAGGTTTATAATATACATCGCGTTTTAATCCGTTAAAGTGTTTTATTTTCATGTGTACCTACTACTCGCGTAAATTACAGTCAGTATTTATGAATGTTTCTTTTACACACGACGTAAACCATCAAAGATGAATAATTTTCCCCGTTTTTCCACATTTCGCTCTATTTTCCCAAATTAAAACTCTTCACCTTTCTAAAGAAGAGGCAAAATCTATCTATCTAAATCTAAATTCTTTTCTTTCTCTCTTATGGGTGAGGAGACTTGTGCTAAGCTTTGCGACAGTAAATTAAACGAAAACACGGTCATTGTAAACCGTAAGAGAATGTGCTGTCGACTCGTGCTTGCATTTAATTTGATAGCAGAGATTGTCACAGTTTTTGTATAATTTGTAAAATATAATATTGATTTCTCTTACAACCAGTACCTACCTGTCCAGATGTCTAGACTTTGGGTGTTAGGTACAAGTTGCAATTAATTTCCAAACTAGCTAGATTCAATAGGATTCGACCCTTCAGCACTTTGGTTATAACTTACAATCTAGATCTATATTTTTTAGACCATTAATCTTAAACTACGGTTTAAGAGTAAAGGTCTAAAACAATAACAATTGGTTCAGTGACCTTAGTTATCTGTACTGCTCACAGAACCTTAATGTAACCCCATTTTCCTTGTTAAAAATCAATGAACTTTCTTCATAACAAAACATATTATTGTTAGCTCACTATCTCACCTTAGAATCGCATTTTTTACTGCTACATAGTAAAAAATAAATAAAAATGTTAATTTGTTTGTCCTATAACTGGACATTTTGCTTAGCGAAATTTTGAAATATAGACAGTAGTTAAAATTACTTTTCAACGTACACAGGATTGGGTTATTCTATCTTTTATGTTACTAAAGTAAATAAATTAAAAATCGATATAAAAATCTGATCACGCGTCTTTATAAAAATCACATCAATGTTACTTGTCACGATAACCTACTAACGATTTTCTACATTTTCCGTTATTTTGGTTTTATTTACTAGCATCCTGGATCTCGTTGTCGACATACATTCCTAGCATCCACACAACCCGTTCAAATATCACACCCTGTATGTAAGGTCATTATATTAAGACGTATAATTCTTTTATAACAGTTGTTTTGAACTTTTCTCCTGACGTCACATCTTATTGGGACAATGTTTTGCTCATTTATCAAATGTTATTGGCATATATCTGCGTCAATATAATCTCGAACTGGGGCGGTTTCTAGTTAGTATCTAAGTATCTTCCATATATAGCTAGTGGTTTTTAGTAGTAGTAGTTTGCGGCTCAAGGCTAGTGCAAACTTACGACGCAGTGACCGATAAATTTTGCGAGATTTGAAGGTATAGATGATAGACTATCCTTTGTGCTCAGTTTTTACGACCATTAAACACTTAGGATAGACGTTAATTTTATCTCGTTAAAATGTTCAATGAAACAATTGGAAAGACTCATTTAGACCTGAAAAAAGTTACTAAACGTCGGTTTATGTTAAAATATGACATAAACTTAAGTTTAGTATACGCATCGTGTCTATTTGGCAGATATTTAACAATAGCATTTGGTATAAAATGTTTGCTATTTGTGTTTATTACTCATTTAAGTTGTATGTAGGTGTTTATATCACTGTATAATTTGGTAATCACCGGTTGAATAATACGAGAAACTAGAAAGTAGTTTATCATTCAAGAAATAATTCGTAGACACAAGCCTTCTTTGGGGAACTATAATGTTGGTCTTATTGTTTATACAATACGTTTAAGAAATCAAGCACGAAACTTGGATACCCTTACTTTTACTGTTTTATATAAAAGAAATTAGTTTTTTTTTGGATTTATACTTCTGTAAAAACTACATCGTACAGACTTACCAAAACTATTTATATAAAGATATTTTAATTACGAATATCATCTTTCCAGGTGAAAAATGGAAGGTCCTACAGGACCCAATCCATGCCGGCTACAAGGCAGCAACGAGCCCGCTATCGACAGACTGACCATAGACGGTAGACCGGAGTTGAGCTGTCAAAGCGACAGCAACTGTCAGTGCGAAGGCGAAGTGAAGATCAAAAGCAAGAGGTTCGGCCGAGGTGCTGTTGAGTCAGGTAATATAAACTTTTAATTTTTAGGAAACCTACCGTCTTTTCATCAGAAAAGTCTGATTGATTTCTTGATTGAAGTATTCTTTTAATTCTTTGTATACTATTATTTTCTGTGGCCACTTTTGTTTGTCTATTGATTACTATAGCTATGTTGAAGCCTTTTGTACTACAGTTAATACTTTCATCATGTTTGAAGTTAATTGTCATACATAATATTATATTTCCAATTAAGAGAAACCAATTATTGATATCGTGAAACATCTCCCCGATAGATAGACTTATCGACCTAATTATTATCCAATACATGTCCATCACGTGCTCTAAAGATAGAAGTTATTTAGATAATTAGTAAATAGATTACAGGTTGTTGCTACAAATTATATAGAAATCATACACGATATTGGCTAATTATTAAATTATTTACCTCTCGACTTAAAAAAAAATCTCATACTGTGAAAGAAGGGGATTTAAGTTTTACAGCTAGGATTTCGTGCTACCCTCACCAACTTGTTGTTTTCAATACAGGGTACATTTTTAATATAAAATACTGCAATTACTTTTAGCATGCAATTCCGAATAAATATATTTTGACAAACTACAATTAGACATAATTTAAAAATCGAAAATAAATTAGACATTTTAAGAATGAGAATAAATTAGAGTACCATATTATGTTTTAAAGTGCCAAAAAATGCAGTTTGTCATACCATTAGTGAACAAATTTGGCAACATTATAATTTTTATTTATGTCTAATTTAAGTGGCAAGTTGACCAATTTGCAATACTTCTTCAATTATCAACTACAGATAAAAACAGGGGTCAAGGAACCAATAAGTTTTGATATGGTGTAAAAGAGTTCTTATTTAATAGATAACTTCCATGCTGTTCTTTCATAACATTAAATTGAACATAAGTCGTTTTTATGATAAACTTTTAAAAGGTTTTATATTTTTTATTATTATTTATTGCAATATTCTAGACTAGATCGGATTTCTCTACTTAACACAAAAAATGTGCACATGCAGCGATTTTTGCATGCTTTCATTATTAATGTATTTAACGCAAATTTACTTACTTGGCAGGTTTAACGCATGAATGCGGCGTCTTCGGAGCAATTGGGACTGGAGAATGGCCCACGCAAGTGGACGTGGGACAAGTCATTTGTTTGGGACTGGTTGCGTTACAACACAGGTATTACAATTTTTACGACAAAGAAAAATAGACAATCATGAAGATCAATTGGTGAAAGGTTGTATCAAACATCTTAACAAGATGCGCTATTGACTTATTTTGGCTTTGACTGAATCTTCGGATATGCGAAGACTGAAGCTGAAACTCGAGATTACAGTTCACGGATTTCAATCCAAACTTATTTGCTTGTATTATGTAAATGTATCTTTCATCCTAAGTAGTTATTATACATATATGTATACGCACAAATTTTTATATCAAAGTCATGTGTCCGATACTTACTAATTCATGATGAACCGGACATGATAAAGTATCTAAAGTTTAAGATAATTTTTCAAAAACCGCTTCCAGTCGGTTCCTAATTGGAACACACACGTTGGGCCTTGCCTCGATACAAGGTTGGATCGGTTAACTGATAAATTTTATCTAAAACGTGATTCTGTCGCCTCAACATTGTTTAATTACTGAATATTATATATTCCATAGTGTTCGGTAATTAAACAATATTGAGGCAACAGAATCACGTTTTAGATAAAAATTATTTAGAATTAAAAATGCTGGGCAGTAAAAATGACACTAATTAAGGCAGTGTAAAATACTGTCTATAGTTTACGCGAGTAGTACACATTTAAATAAAACACATTAACGGTTTAGACGCGATAGTTTTAAACCGTTAAAGTGTTTTATTTAAACAATGCAGTATAAGCCAAGAGAGTAAAACAAGCTGGGTTTATCTATATATTATGTACTAACTTATGTACATTATCTTCTTGTGTATTCGTTTGTTTAAAGTATTTACAGTGAAATCTGGTTAAGTGGACCTGGTGAGTAACCTGGATAAATGAGAAACCTCTATTGTTGAGAGTAGCGATGAGGTTCCGATTCTTTGTCATTAAATTGCCCTTTGTTAATGGGACCATTTAAACCTGGTTAAAGGAGATTTGGATTCTAAGACTTTTTCAATGTTTACCTCTATAATTGAGACTCTGTAGCTCAATTACCTGTCTAAGAGAGACAAACTAATCAGGTTTTAACAGGATATCACATGTTTACAAACAAACACGGCGCTCTCTGTAAATGAGACAGGTATAATTTTTAATCCGGCTTCGAAAACTGGATTATTGGAAGCCCTCATTAACTGTTACATATATATGTCTTGATCCCTTGCGATCCCAATTAACCAGGTTTCACTGTATCTTAAAAGCTATTAAATGGAAGCTATGACTTAGCTTATATGATGTTTTCATTACAGGGGTCAAGAATCCGCGGGCATAGTGACGTCAGAGGGGAAAAGCGCGCGAACCTTTAACTCTCATAAGGGTATGGGTCTCATAAACAACATCTTCAATGATGAAGCCATGAAGAAACTCAAAGGCAACCTTGGGATTGGACACACTAGGTTTGTCACATAACATATCTTATATATTCTGTGACTAATGGCAAGTAGATTACTTTTTAGTTATACCAGGAAATTTTTCGTCAAGGTTGGTAGACTGTAAGAAAATGTAACTGTATTAATATTATAAAGCTGAAGAGTTTTTAAACGCGCTAATTTCAAGAACTACTAGTTTAAATTGAAACTATATCGTGTTGGTTAGCATATAAAGATAGAGGAGAAGAAATTGTCGCAAGTGTGGAAAAAACGGTAAAAAGTTTTCATCTTAAAAAGGTTTCCGTTATTAATAATGATTAAATGAGTTAATTAATGATTCCTCTTTTGATTAACGAAAATGTCCGCGACACTATAACGGCGGGATGGGGACGACGTGGTGTGTAACAGCTGATTTTATAAAGATGAGGTTTGCAAAAATGTTGATGACCAAAATAACTATCCTACGCGGACGAAGTCAGGGCCACAGCTAGTGCTAAGACGTCATTGATAAGGGTCTTTAATTCCTAATCCCAATACCACATAATAAACTTCTTTTATGTGTCAGATACTCGACATCCGCGGCGTCTGAAGAAGTCAATTGTCAGCCGTTTGTTGTTCACACGGCGCACGGCGCTCTTGCTGTAGCTCATAATGGCGAACTCGTTAACTGCAGTAGCCTGAGGAAGATGGTGAGTTCGCATATTGGAAACGTAACACAGAGTTATATGTACTCTATGGTAACTGTGATAGTACTTAATGACTGAGAAGGACCAGCACGAAGCTTAAATGATATAACTATGTCTATAACATCTAATTAAATTATTGACTTTTGGTTAGTTAAAAATTGTATAATTCACATTACAACACATACAAAATGCCCATACACCATCACCCTCTCCTACATCACCATCATGTGTGTGTAATTGTATCATCTCGATCATTATCTCTTAAAACTTATAAAAGAGACTTTTTAGGGGGCTCGGTGGTGTAATATGAGAAATATACGGCTAATAATTAAGGGGGTTCAATCTAACAAGTCATGTTTCTAATCAATTTATACTTTTTCTCGTCTGGGTGGAAATCTAGATATTAAACGGGTGATAGAAAGAAGAAGACCGGGTCACGAACCACCGTACACAGCTGAAAAATACAAGGTTTAATCGCTCTACGGTTTCAGTCTGTGGTTTTCCGAATGTCCAAAACATAAATTGGTTGAAAGCATATCTTGTTTAGATGTTATATGGCTCGGGTATTTCACCCACCATCAAGTGAATGGCTTGTCATATGCTCCTCTATCATTATATTAGTGAATGCCACAAATAACCCTTTCTTAAATTTAATGATGTTTGCTACAGGTGTTGGGTCGTGGAGTAGGTTTATCAACGCACTCGGACTCCGAGCTAATCACTCAAGCTTTGTGTCTCAACCCACCAGAGGGTGAAACTAATGGTCCCGACTGGCCAGCAAGGATCAACCATCTCATGAGGTACTCCTTTATGGATATAACAATAGGTCTATACCCTGAAAGCCGCTTAGCAGCTGTCATTGTGGTTTCCCGTTTAAGCAAAAATAACAATGGCCAAAATTGTATGTGTGGGCGTTTTATTTACTTTGATATATTAAATACCCTATACGAAAACACTTTTGAAAAGCCAACTTAATTTAATACCATCAAAAATAGTTTTGACGTTATAATCATTAAGTACATAAAAAGAGTTTGCAAGAAACAAAATGAGTTTATGGGAGGGTAAATTAAAGATACTGTTAAACCCAGTACGTATAAAAAATAGCATAACTGTCAGTCATGTATCAGTGATCCGAAATGTCAATCGATAGCGCGTCGATGACAAATCGTTCCGTTACACGCAAGTGATCAAAATACTTTTAATTGCTCTTTATATAGAAAATGCAAAAAAAAAAACAAACCAAAAATATATATAATTCGATATGCGAACTCTAACAATACTTTCTGAAGAAACAGATTAAAAAATATCATATTGAAAAAAAAAACCAATATCTTTTTTTGGCTCATAATAAATGAGTTATCATTAATATTTCCTATACTAATAAAAATACATTTTTTTTTTATATATAACACATATCTGGTTGCCGTCAGGTACGGTTTGGCCATTATTATTTAACAAACTTATGTCTTGTCAATCTCTCTCATCTAAATATCAGCCAATATACTAAAATTACACTTTTATGCTCTTAATTGGACTCTTTCTAGTTTCTCTCGTACTTAATTTGTTCTTTATATAGGTTGGCACCTCTCAGTTACTCTTTGGTAATCATGTTGAAAGATAAGATTTATGCAGTGCGAGATCCCTATGGCAACCGACCGCTTTGCCTTGGAAAAATTCTACCGCTTGGATCATCATGTAAGTAAGCTGTATATTTTGTCTCCCTCTTGTAAATGCGTGCGAGAGATAGCAAATGCCATGCCCATGGGATTTGGTGTAAAAAGTACACAAAATCATCACATAAGAAGGGATTTTTAACACTGGAAGATAGATACATTGAGTCTTCTAAATTTTAAGTATGGCATGACAAAAGTCACATCGTAAAAATTTTAACACAAGACCCATCTATTTTCTAGCCATAAAAAGATTATCTGAGGAATGTGTTACCAACATCTAAAAATTGTATATTAATATGTTTGTATATTTGATAATCAAAATTGGCATGACTAAAATTGATAAAATTTACAGATGTCTACAAACAATCGTCAGCGCAGCATGCCGCGGGTAAAGCATGAATCATTCATTTTAATTTATCTCATTTGAGTGGAAAACATTGTTCAATGAATTACAAATTATCAATTCACCATCGCGATTGAGTACTAAGAAGAGACTAAATAAAATAAAATTTTTATTTAGTTTTACTTTCATCTTTTCCAATTATTGGGGTTCATTTTACTTGAAATTTGTTCGCCATTAGCATTATATTGGTCTGGAATGGTTATTCCCATCGGTGGGACTCAGATCTTCTACCACGCTACCAAAATTTTCATTGTTTCATTGTGATGTTCTCCGTAATGAAAGAGCATGTGACACAACAAATACAAAGATACATATTTTTGGTCCATGATCAAGAACGAAATTGTCGCTGGCTTTACTCGTTCCTATCGTGTTGGGAATTATAAAGATCGGGGATGTATTTTCATATTCATCTTAATCACGAATCAATCCGCTTATTTTCGCCCGACTTATATTCGAAATAATAAGTACCTTTTCACAGTTTGAATATAATTAATACTTTTTTTAGTTTTGATGAACGGTTGTGCAAAGAACGGTTTAGAAGACAAAGCTGAAGGTTGGGTGGTGTCTTCAGAGTCCTGTGGTTTTCTGTCTATCGGTAAGAATTTTATAGACTTAGTATCATTTAGAGTTTACCTATTATAGTGGCATATTGTGGCAATTATTCACTCCAAATGTATGTATTACCAGACTAATAATATTAAAGAGTTATTTTATGTACTTAGATTTAATATTGGTGGTAAAGTATCTTGACAATAAAATCTTATCTTAATGTCGTTATTGTTTTATATAACATACGTATTGAATACCGAAGCCAAACGACAGCAATAGTTTTTAATTCTATCAACAGGGGCTAGATACGTCCGGGAAGTATTACCGGGTGAAATAGTAGAGATGTCTAGACACGGTATTCGTACGGTTGACGTCGTGGAGCGGCCGGAAGGCAAGCAGCAAGCTTTCTGTATCTTCGAGTACGTCTATTTCGCGAGAGCAGATAGTTTATTTGAAGGTTAGTGCGCAAATTAATTATGAAAGATTAGAGTTCAAAATTCTGTACATGTATGCTGGGATACTAAAGAATATTTTCTTTACATGTCAAGACATTTTTCTTAAATATTCCGGCTCGAAGGACCAAAGGCTGAATCCAAACTTTATCGTTTTAGGTCAAATGGTATACTCAGCGAGGTTGCAATGTGGCCGTATGTTGGCGCGAGAGTCGCCGGTCGATGCTGATATTGTCTCCTCCGTACCAGAATCTGGTACTGCAGCTGCACACGGTTATGCCAGACAGGTATTATTATGATTATAGGCTTAATTGAATATAATAATTATTAAAAATATTTTTTGCATAGAACTTACTTTATTATGCTACTAGCTAATCTATCTTTCTTATCTTTTCAGTCCGGAATCCCATTCATGGAAGTACTTTGCAAGAATCGGTACGTCGGGCGTACGTTCATCCAACCGTCTACACGGCTACGACAACTTGGTGTCGCTAAGAAATTCGGCGCACTTTCGGAAAACGTTCGTGGAAAGAGAATAGTTCTAATAGACGACTCTATAGTGCGTGGGAACACTATTGGTCCGATTATTAAGCTATTAAGAGACGCAGGAGCGGCTGAGGTACGGATTATAATTATTATTTAATTTAAATTAAAAATCGATTTAGAATAAAAAATATCCACAATACGGGCGGGGTTTGAATTGGCTTCTACAGCGCTCCGTGCTGCTGCTTTAACTAATTGAACTATTATTCATTTCATTGTGTCATTTTCTTCAATGCATTCATACACGCATCTCTTGCGCAATGTAATTTCAATCTAATACTGATACATTGAGATTATTTTCTACCTGTTTGCGTTGTTATTTGCACATAGGAAATATTCTAAAACTTCTTACAACTCGAGACTCTTGTCGAAATAGGATTTCCCTTATACTATAATCATTTAACAAGCGCAAATTTCAGCTACACACTAAATTTTCTGAAAGTTTTCCGTTTTGTCCGCCATGCAAGGGTACCGTCTCGAAAAGAATAGCTTTTTAAAATAAACGTTAATATTTCCTCCTTAATGTTTTTCACCGAATTTCTCTTGTAAAAATGATTGATGGTAGGCAATTCCTTCAAATTAAAATAAGTTTGCTCCTTTCTTAATATAAATATAAAAATATACCATACCAATAACCTAAAACTTCCTTACAGGTACACATAAGGATAGCTTCACCGCCGCTGAAGTACCCGTGTTACATGGGAATCAATATTCCCACCAGAGAAGAACTAATTGCAAATAAAATGGACACATTTAAGTTAGCCGAACATGTCGGTAAGTAATACGAATCCTACTGCTAACCACTTAATGTATGTTCTTATTATATCGATCTATGACTCATAATTATCTGTCGTATTTCAGGCGCTGATAGTCTGGAGTACCTTAGTGTAGAAGGTCTAGTTAGCGCGATTCATTATAACATGAAAGCTACACCTAGTGACGGGGTAGGTGGGCACTGTACCGCTTGCCTGACCGGAGACTATCCGGGGGGTCTGCCTGAAGATGTCGATTGGTAATAATAGATAGAAGAACTTAGCCTTAGAATGCTAGCGCTGACTAGTTATAACGCCTCCACCGGCTCGAAGGACCATTTTATTTTTCTATATTTTTTTCGAATTTAAATCTTAGGCATATGCATATTTACAAGTTATATGTCCAGAAAATATTATTTACGCAATGACTGGCATTGTTTTACAAGTTTTTTCATATAATACAATAAGGATTTCAGCGTATATTCAGTTTGTCATAGAGTGCTTTAAGAATTTTAATTCCAAACTTTCGCCTTGCCCCAGTAATCTGAGTACAATATTTTTGGATTTTTGGTTGTATATCAAAATTGTTGGATGTGATTTTTTTTAAACCTTTATCTAATATCTTATGTTCATAGTTCTATATTTTGATAGGTTAGTATTTTTAAGGGGTCGTGCTGGTTTCGACCTAAAAAATAATAAAAATAAGGTCGACATTGGAATAGTCGTCGAATATTTTTCTAGTATCTATGGATGAACATTTGTCGCAATAACAATAAGTGCCTTCTCGAATAGTTGTAAGTGATCTGATTTTTAGAAACTATGGACTGTGCGCACATTCCATTAACTTGTTGAGGTGTATAAAATCTAATGTATTTTTAAATATTAGGTTATTTTGAAAGTTGTTTATATTTAGAATAAAATATTGTTTTATTTCTAATTACAAGTACAAATGTTTACGAGCGTTTTATTTCATAGCTGGAAACAAAAAGAGCAAATCAATAAAATCCATTTATTTTATGCCTTTCTTATATATACTTCACATCACTGTCTTTTTCTATAACTTAACAATACGGCACTTTAGCTGTTTATTAGCATAATTTCTGTTTTTAATACAACATATAATTATTTTACACTTTAGGATTTGATAATAGTGATAGACAAAACAATTGTTAAAGGTATATTTTTATGAAGACTTTATAGGCCAATATTGATGTTTAAGCAAGTACAGAATTAACTAAACAACATACAATATTATATATAAGATCTATAACCCAATATACATGATATTTGACAAGTTGCAAAGATTTGATTATTTTGATCAGATTGATTATGAAAAAGAAAATAAAAGATAATTACATATGTTCAAACAGTGATGTATTAAACATCAAATATTCTGTCTTCCTACAATTGCTTCTATGTCTTGCACTTCCTTAACACAAGTATCTGTTAATATAAGCGGATGTCCATCAGTGATTAGGACATCGTCTTCTATCCGTATACCGACCCCACGAAATTCCGGTGGCACTGTTGTGTCATCTGCTCTTATGTAGATTCCTGTAAAGTTTTAATAAAAGTATTTACTCTAATAGCCTTGCTGCTAATCAGTAAAGTAAAGTGTAAACTAAAGTGCTAAATCTTGTGACACATGTCTGTGTACTATTTGATTATTTCCTGGCAAAAGCAATTGATAATAATTCAGACTGTGGCCTGCCCGACCGAAACAATGTATGTTTTTTTCGGATTGTAACTTGTGCAACCTCTAAGCTACTTAGATGGTCTTTATCTACTTGGAATTCAATTAAAAGATTGAGTAAAACGTAACTTCTTGACATTTTATAAATGCCAGATACTAACCAGGTTCTACAGTCACTATCATATTAGTGGCAACTGGAATGCGTCGACGCACCAGCGGGGAATCGTGGACGTCTAGACCGAGGTAATGGGACACGTGATGCGGGCAGAGACGATACGCCCGCTAAAAAAAGATAATACTTTTAAAGTCCGGCTCGAAGGACCAAATGTTAAAATTTTTTTACAATTTACTTTTTAAATATTAGCGAGATAATAATGTACTTTAATTGGTCCTGAGGCGATAGGTATTTATAACTTACCCCTATCAGTTCATTGGTGTCGATGTTCTTAGGCAAGATTCCTTCCTGTTGCAGATACATGCCTAGTAGTCTACACATGTGGTCAAAGAGATGGTCTAGTGGAGGTCTTTGTTGCCCCAATAGGTCTATGAGTCGTTTCTAAAAAAATGTAAGTCAATTAATTTTTATAACCCTAAGTATACTGGCCACGTCAATTGGTATTATGTCTGTGTCTTTTGGTAAGTTAAATCAGGCTCAAATTCTGTCTAATTGCTCATAAAAAACATTTAGCATTGCAATCGTTATAAATCTATTATAACTTCTGCAATAATTATAACTTTGTTTCAAATTATATTTAACATTTTTGGTTGGGGTAAAAGAAATATATATTTTTAATGCTAATATTAAGGTGTCATTTTACACACAAAAAACAACATTGACAGTCATGTAGTAGTTGGAACATCGCTCGGGCACTTAAGGGAACATAGAGTAATGGATTTCTTTTAGAACAGCATACCTGAACAGCCAACACAAGTTCGTAAAGTATCTTGTGATGCGGGGAGAACTTTCCGGACACCGGCCATGTTCGGGATATATCCGAATTGTAGAGCCATCGTTGACAGCCTTAAAATTAATGAAATATTTAATCACAGTTAACTTAAAAAAGAGGCAAATTTATCTGGTCAAAAAACAAAAAAAAACCTTAGGATTGCATTGAAATTGATTTTTGTTTACTTAAAAGGGAATCCAAAAGCTATATTACTATAAGTAATAAATTTCTATTGCTATTTGGTCAAAAGTTTGTACTTTATACATTAAAAACATATTAGAAAACGAATCAAACCAACTTGTACAAATTCGGATATTTCATTTCTCACTAATTAGGAATAGTTATTAATAAATATTTCAACAGCAATACCAAAAAAAAATCCTTCGAAAGTTTAGTACATTACCAGCGTCAATAAGCAACATATCCCCATTATCTAGTAGTTGATTATTCGAGACGTAATGTATGTGTGTCGCGCGGGATCCCCCAGCCACCACCGGCGGGAAAGCCCCGTGCTCAGCCCCCGACATTCGGCAGGTGTACTCGAATACTGATGATATTGCATGTTCAGATATTCCTACGAGAAATACATGTACATGTATGTTACTCATCATTCCTATAATGTTATATACACATCAGTTTTTACCCTTTTAGGGCCAGATAACTCGACTTAAACGGCGGTAATAGATTTCAGAATAATACAACAACAAAAAAAATGGTTGTCTGTAAAGTCGGTTTACTGAAGATAGTTGAACGTGACAACGTCTTAAGAAAATACTGATGGAATGGTAGGATTTTTCAAAAGAAAATTTTAATTTCATTTGTTTAATAGATTTGTATGTATATAGAGAAGGAGGTAATTGGAAATCACAATGAAATTTATCAAGTTAGATTTATTTGTAGGCATAAATACAATTATTATTATTACGTTTATTTTTTTTTTCCACATAAGTAGGAGAAAAGGATGTCGAACGCTGCCGAACGCAAAGGCGGATTGTGCATCTTTTTTCGCATGAGTCATGTTTTTTCATGCGTGCCACCGGCTCTATTGAATTATAAGACGTTGTCACGTCAATATTTAAATTATTTGTTCCAAAGAAGTATGAAATAAAATTTTATTTCATTTATAAGGTACCCAAACAGGTAGATATGTATTATACAAAATAAGTAGAAATGTAGTGTAGTCTTTGAGTAAAGCCATATTTTTTTTAGTAATTGTTATTAAATGGCTTTAAATACTTTTTACTGTTTTATTGTACTGACAAAAAATAACATTATAAAAATTATATTTCTAAATAACCATAGAAAAAAAGAATTCAAAGAAAATGGATGACAGATTACAGAGACAAAACATTGAACGTTAACATATTCTTTATCAACATACCCACCAGGTTTTGTGCAGGCCATAGCCATGTTTACCGACTGAGAGCCGATATAGCAGGTCTCCTTCATTAATTCCACTTCCGCGGGTGACTTAATCACTCTCATCAGGTGCAGCACTCGTTGGGGATCTTCCAGGGCGGCATGATGCCTTAACGATGCCCGGACAGTATCATGAATGTCCGGATTCGCTGGTGACTCATTATGGTACCATAGTATTGTGGATTTCAAGGATGATATTGTTCTGCAATATATGACAAAGACTAAGGAGGTTGTTTTTTACTCTGTCTCGCTGAATGGGGTTTAGCAATATTGATATAGGATATTATGAATGGTACTCATAAAAAGAAATATATTCTTATTTAGTTAATAGTCTTATTTTATTAAAAATATTCTTGAGGGTCTTGTGAGCGTCCACAGCATTCAGTGCTGCTGTTTTACAAATTTAAAAATAATAAGCTTTTAACTGTTAAACTTTGTAATCTTTCATGATTTCTTAAGCTGCAAAGCATAAGACACTAAACTTACATCTCTAAGTGACGTTTCAGATGCTCTGCAGCAGTCATGATAGTTTAACTAATATATCACGTTCTAAACCGTTGAAGTATTTTATTTAAATGTGTACTACTTACGTCAACTATAGACAGTATATGTGATTTCAATAAAATGTTTAGTGGTTTCTTTATACTTTACTACTAGTTAAGTATAAATATATGTAGCAATAAATCATTCAAAACCTGTTTAGAAAATTGCCAAAGTTTTCAACTGGCTGCGACTCATCAACAGAGAAAAGGGCAGTAGCAGCTGAGCAACCTGTCCGAGGTCCTTCCCATAATTCAGCATGACTGTCTTTGTCATGTACAAATAATATGGTCTGAAATGAAAGATAGTAAACATTTATTTATTGCTTATAACACAAGGGGATATACTGAAAGAAGGAGGAAACATAACAATCCATAATTTGGTGTAATTCAAATTCATTTACTGCCATAGTTCTTGATTATTTGGCAAATTGCAGTTCCATATAGAGCTTTTTTGAACACAAAAAGTTTTCCAACAACAATCCAACAGAATTGGACAACGGAAAAATAGATCATAATTCATCTTTAAAAATGTTGGTCAAGTCAGTCATCAGCTTCATACCTTAAAACTATCTCTGTCCTCAGTTTTAATCATGACTAGGATAGCTGATGGCTCCAAGCATCCAGTTAGGTAAAAGAAATCTGAGTTCTGTCTAAATACATATGGTATTTTATCAGACATGTACTGCTTTCTTGAACCTGGTATCACTATCTAAAAAAGTACAAATACATATAAAATATCAAATAAACATGTCTTTATATAATATGTATTTTAAAATAAATATTAATAAGCAAATGACTTATGTTGTATGTCTATGTATGTGTTACATACACACACATAGACTTTTATGTGTAAATTTGTATTATATTAGTAATGCGCTCATACTATAAACTATATCATGACAGCCACCTTAAAATATTTATAACTTTATTTCTGACTACAATGTTGGAATTAATATAACACATTATGAAGATAAAGTATACTTACAACATGTGTTTTATGCACATTTTCTGCCTCAACTAGTTTGCTAACTAGAGTTTCCCGCCGTTCCTTATATTCCATCTGAGTAATGCCACAAGTTAAGTAACCAGTACTTATCAAGTGAGGATGTGTGTGGCATGTTGGCTGGCCCAATACACCTTGGGGTATCTTAAGTTCTGGTATATATTTAACATCAGGAGGATTCTTTATACTTGATAGATGCCGAATCACTTTGAACCTCGATGTGTATTTAAGCAGAACTGTAATCATGAAGTATTATACAATATTGCTTAAAATTATCATATCTTCATGTACAATATTTTTTAAAAGTATTTAAAATTCTTACTTGACTGCAACGTAGGTGCAATGAGCTTTAAATTATTCATAATGAATAACCTATGATCGTAATCTATATTTATTTAATAATTTTACTGTTGGTTTGATTTATCATCTCTGATTTTATTTTTAAGATATCATTTTTTGTTCAAAAAGTGTTTTTTCAAGTGTATTTGTATTGTTTGTCATTTCACACAAATCACGATAAATTGAATTTGAAAATTGACATTAGGTTACATAGGTATTCGTTAAGACGATGGGTATAGATTATAGTCGTAAACATACAAAGTGCATTAGCCATGTATGGCAAACCTTAGTAGAAGGAAAAGTGAGTACTTTTTAATGGCATATTCTATTTGTTTCTAATCGAATGAAAACGAGTTAAATCAAAAATTCCGTAAAAAAATGTTATTTCAATAAATTAAAATACTTATGCGAAGTAATATTTTTCTTTTTAGTTTACTGGTTCTGTGGGTAATTTTTTTTGTACGATTTAGGTGACGAGAAAACCGTGCATATCGAATTTGTCATGAATTTAAATAAATTAGTTTAAACTTTTAAAATGAGATGTTAAATGTTATCTCAACGTTTAACATCTTTATAGAAAGGTTTTGATTCATTATTAAATTGAATAAATACAATTCGACATAAATAGTTATATTTTTCAATATTGTAAGATGTGACATTAGTGGATAGATTAATAAATATATACAGAAAGATAATATAGAAAACAATGAAAATATTAATAAATAAAAAGGTTTTATATCACCACAACTAGCCCTCCCTATTTATTTTTTCTTCATGTTGGTTTCTACCAGCTAATGGGTAGACAATTTTGTTTTTCTTAGGTTGGTGTTGAAGATTTTCGTACTTCGTGCAGTTTTAACAATAACGCCTCTTATAATTGGACGGAAAAGGATATATATATTTATTTGTTTTGTAAAATACAATTAATACACTAACGGATTTGACCTAGAAAGGTGACATTAGGATTGATATTGACATGTGAAAAACTATTTGACATTACTTTATGGTCAAACCACAGACAAATCTAGTCGCATCAAATTAAATTTCGCCTTCATCAAACAGAATTCCTCCCGTCAAGCGTGGCTAATCAAGGTATCAAAAGGTGAGGTTTCTCTCGTATTTAACAAGCTCTATATCGGTATTTTCACTACCTATCTCGTAAAAATTGCGAGATTTTATTGTTTTGTAATGTAAAAAATAATATTTAGGGGTTAAAACTGTAAATATACTGGTCAAAACATTTAAAATTTTCGTATAATTTTTTTTTATACAATGTCTGCTTTTTAAAGAAAAATGAGCAGCTCGGAGGAGATATCATGGATTTCATGGTTCTGCGGCCTCAGAGGAAATGAGTTCTTTTGCGAGGTATGTGATATAAGTAACCAATTTAATTGTTTATAAATACTTTGTACTATTTATTTACGACGTGTTTTAGGTAGACGAAGATTATATAAATGATAAATTTAACTTGACTGGACTAAATGAACAAGTACCACACTACAGATTAGCGTTGGATATGATATTGGATCTTGAACCTGGTAAGGCACAGTAATTAAGTTATTGTTTTCGATTTTCATCACTATCTGCATTCTTTGGTCGCCTGCCATATAAGCTGTTACTGTTTAATAAACCTGTCAAAATTCATCTCATAATTATTGGTTTCTGTACAATACAGATGATGATCTAGAGGACAATCCAAACCAATCAGACCTTGTAGAGCAGGCTGCGGAAATGCTGTATGGATTAATTCATGCTCGTTATATCTTGACTAACAGGTAAGGTACAGCTCTTTTATTTCAAGGGTAGACAATGGTATAACATATGAAGAAGTATTTATGTATTTATTAATACTTTTAAAGTTAGATTGCAGAATTATATTTTTTGACATAAACATACATAAAATTTCTTGAAGTATATTGATTCTGTAATTGTAAGTGTTGCTTAGCCCATTTGTCCTACTTCTGACACCTAACTATAAAGACTGCATATTACATATATTTTCTAAGTTTGCCTAGGTTTATTATTTTTTCTTTTTCAGAGGAATAGGCCAAATGATGGAGAAGTTTCAATCAGGTGACTTCGGTCATTGCCCACGAGTCTACTGTGAATGTCAGCCAATGTTACCCATTGGTAAATATTTTTATATGATTTTTTAACCTATTAATGTTTTGACCCAATACTTAATCAGCTTTTCCACAGGTCTTTCAGATGTCCCAGGCGAAGCTATGGTGAAGGCATACTGCCCTCGCTGTATGGACGTTTATACGCCAAAGTCTTCTCGCCACCACCACACAGATGGTGCTTATTTTGGAACCGGATTTCCTCACATGGTCTTCATGGTGCAACCCGAGTACCGCCCGCGCCGTAATCCCTCACAATTTGTGCCCAGGTCTGATAACCCCATTGCATATCAATAATTATTATTTTTATTTGTACTTGTAAATATATAAAATTTGCAACTTCAACTTTCAATTGACCTATATTTCTTCAAAACAAAACATTATTTCACTGATTGATTTAATCGGTGTTGTTAACTTGAGTTGTTGCTATTCCTTATAATTTTCAATGTAAGAAAAAGAAATCATCTTTATTACATAGTTTTATGGAGACAAACTATTTTCCACAGACTATATGGCTTCAAAATCCACCCGCTTGCCTACCAGATCCAAGTCCAAGCTGCGGCAAGCAACAAGCCTTCTTCCCTGCGCACTTTTAACAACGGTAAACGCTAGGACTGCGCCAGGCCACGCCCAGCAGTGCATACGCACCTCTAGCGCCCCCTGTAGCTGCTGTTGTAGATATTAAACTAATGCTGGTCAAACTTGATCTCTTAGGTCCCATTACCTACCTAAGAGAACAAATTTCATAACAAAATCTTATCTTATGTTATTATCAAGAAAATTTGATTTCAATGTATCGTCAACTTTAATTTTTCGTTTTAAATGGCTAAACCCAGTAAAATACGCAAGCTGATTCGACAACTTGTTGGGTTATAACCTAAACATGTTTTTGAATGTTATTGGGACCAATGGTGTAAATTGGAATTGGTCAATAAAACAATTGGATGATATTGTTGTATCTTCCTTGAGTATATTATTTTTCGTTTAACACTCAAGTTCCATTGTAGCTATCAAGGTCAAAAATATGTTTTTTCATGGAAAGAAGTTATAACTATTTCCTGTTGTCAAAAAAATTGTGTTGTCAATTCAGGAAGATACAAGGAGCTGCTAGCATAATTTTGACAAGTTTGAATAATTTATAAGTTTTTACAATAAATTATATTTTTCTAATGAAGAATGTCAAGTCATTTTGAATAACGTAAAGTTATCAGTCATGGACGGTATAAATGTGTTTTTTGTTGTGTAACTTTTCGTTCTCTAATCTAACTTTCTTTAGGGTTAGGTCGTAAATTTACTCAATCAGTTTTATGTTAAATTTTTTTTAGTACATACTAACATACTATAAAAAAATATATAATAAAAGAACAACTAGATAATGTACATAACATTATCTAATTATGAATGTTAGAATATGTGTATAATGAAAATAAATAAATGAACTGCCAAATAGACATCAAACAAAACATCCAATTATTATTTAAAAATCGAAAATAAATTGAAAAAAAATTCGACTCGGGCAGGACTTGAACCGGCATCGTCAGCGTTCCGTTGAAAAATCAGTCTTAGCAATCACGTGATCGACTATTGCAAATATTAAAACACAACTACACTAATAATTAATGAATTATCCAAAGACAAAATGTCTGCTTAAAAATAATGTAATAAATAGTAGCCAGTTATAACTCTTAAAAGCGAAGCACTATTTCACAACCAACTTAAAATATGAAATTTTAAAACGGTATAGTTCCACGCATTCAATGTCGACAAGGAGAGAAAGATAATCGTGACAGATAACGTGATGAAAAAATGGATGGAGGAGCTGCGGATGTAAAACGGCCAGAAGGCGTTGGGGCGCTCGGACACTTGACGCCTTTGTCGTTTGGTCTTCAGACTCAGTGGTATTTTGGCACGGCGAATGGCGGTCCCCAAGACCGCGAAATGAAAGATCCTGATTGATGGTCAGAAAAGAACTCTACAGGATACATGTTCTTGGGCTGCTGCTTGAACAGACGTTAGATCAGGGATGCACAAACTTATTAAGAGTAAGGGCCACTCGGGCAAATCAATAATTGATGGCGACCGACAAAAGTAAAGGTAATTAAAGACAATAAAGAATTTATAATAATGTATTAAAATTGAAAATACTTTAGTAATTTGAGTAATATTTATTTTTGCTGACGGCGGTCTGTGCATCTCTGTTAGATAACTGAGCCGTACAGCGTACTCAGGGAAGATCGTAACATCATACAAATAAATTAAGTATAAACACTAAATAGGCATTTTTTAATTTGTAGAGTTTCACAGGACTAAATAGAAAAAAGCTTATAAACCTAGTCGTCTATGTAATTTTAAAAGTAATTTCACTGTGTCATCACGAACAAAGCATATAATACTCATTTCCGTTCAAGCCAGCCATGTTCCAGAAACATTTCACTACAGATTTATTGTAATGAAGTCTAACTTATTGCATTAGAATAGATATATTACTGGCTTAAGTTTAACCTTTCCATCAAACATTTGAAACTCGATGGCACAATGGCCTGCCTGTAATGAGAACACGTAATTTCAGAAAATACTATGCATTTTAAATATATAAATGAGCGTTTTTTATTTTAGAGTGTGTAGTTGAGCACAATACCTTCATTAGTTTATTTCTGTATTAATGTATGTAATTAATTAATGAATTTGAAAATTGCGCATTTTTATTTTCCTGCATATTGAAAATCGTGTTATTTTGCTCTAGCAATCTCAAATTAGGAGTAGCAATGACATCTCAAAAGATATTTGACGTTTCTTTGCAGTCAAACCATAGAAAAAATATAGTCGGTGCAAAATGAATTTCTTATTTATCAAACAGAATTTCTCCCGTCAAGCGTGGCTAAACAAGGTACCAAAAGAAGAGGTTTCTCTTGAGTTTAAAGAGTTCTATATCGAGATTTCCACTATAATTTCCGTTTAAATCCTGGAAAAAGTTTATCTAGTAATGAAAATAAATATCATTTTTGGGTTAACACTGGTCACTGTAAATATACTGGTCAAAACCTTTCAAATTTTCTAATAATTTTTCATGCAATGTCTGATTTTTAAAGAAAAATGAGCAGCTCGGAGGAGGTATCATGGATTACATGGTTCTGCGGCCTCAGAGGAAATGAGTTCTTTTGCGAGGTAAGTGATATAAGTTAGCTATTTAATTGTTTATAATCGCTTCCTTTTGTATATTTACGACGTTTTTTAGGTAGACGAAGATTATATAAATGATAAATTCAATTTGACTGGACTAAACGAACAAGTACCACAATACAGACAAGCCTTAGATATGATATTGGATCTTGAACCTGGTAAGCCACATTGTTAGATTTTGCATTTCTGTCTTTATATTTTCCACCTACTAAATATGCTGGCACTGATAAATAAGCCTGTCGAAATTTATATTATATTTGTTTCTGTACAGATGATGATCTGGAGGACATTCCAAACCAATCGAATCTTGTTGAGCAGGCTGCAGAATTTTTATATGGATTAATTCATGCTCGTTATATCTTGACTAACAGGTAATGTATTTACGGCTGTTTTTTTTTATAGATGGTTCTATCTAATGAACTTATACATGATAAGGTTTATTTGATAGAAGATAAAATACCACAACCATAACATTTGAACAAGTGTCACTTATTTAGTAGGCTTTGGACATTTGGAAATCAAAATACTAACTTTAAAAAAAAAACAAAACTACTTCAAACTATTGACAACGGTTTGAGGCCTGGAAGATAGATTTTCCAGGTGAAGTGCATATTTTTAAGATAAAATCTAAAGTGTGTTTAGTATTGTCATTCATTATGTTGATGATTACTAACTAGACAAATCAGCCAGCTCCTCAAACCCTTAAAAGCATTATTTTAGATAAAGTACAGAGTGATACAGACATTTTGGGCTCTATATCTAAAATATGTACATACATACATACATAGAGTTTATTGGAGTATATTAATTTCGAGATTGCAACTAGTACTAGTTGAAATTGTTTAATTGCAAAGTGTTGCCTAGTAATAGTTATTTAGCCTTTTTTCTTTAAAGATTTAAGACTGCAGCAACCTAGCTATAAAGATCTGTCTTGCGTATTAGTTATATCTAAAAAAGTTGCTTAGGTTTATTATTTTTTCTCTTTCAGGGGAATAGGTCAAATGATGGAGAAGTTTCAGTCAGGAGACTTTGGTCATTGCCCACGAGTCTACTGTGAATGTCAGCCTATGTTACCTGTTGGTAAATAACTAATTATTTCTACCAAAATTTATATGCATTAGTCCAATCAGACACTTATTGTTTTGACAAGGTTTGCATATAGAATCAGTCTTTAGTATCTAGGTTGTTACTAATATAAAGGAAAGTTGTTATCTTGGAAAGTACTCTATCTGGGAAATTAAAGCTCTTACCTATTAAACCATTTTAACGCTTTTAAAGATCGTATGTAAGTTTAGAAGTAAATTCTTAATGGATTATTTAAAATCATGAGACATTTTATAGAACATTTATTTTTTAATGATAAACGAGGACAAATGTGGCTTTGGTTTCCCTTGATGGTAGGTGATATAACCCGACCTATAGCATCTAAACAAGATGCGCTGTCGACCTGTTTTGGCTTTGGATATTCGGAAATCCACAGACTAAAACAGAAACGCGATTAAGCCATTTAATATCCAGATGTCCAGATGTGGTCCAGCATGTTTCAGACAAATTAAAAAACATGTTAAACCTTGTGGGGATTGAATCTCCGACCCGTTGATTGTTAGCCATACATACTAGCATAAGACCAACGAGTCTGTCGTACAGGTTTTTTTTAAACTTCATCAATTTTATCTCAGGTCTATCAGATGTCCCTGGAGAAGCTATGGTGAAGGTATACTGTCCTCGCTGTATGGACGTTTATACGCCGTTGTCTTCTAGACACCACCAGACAGATGGAGCTTATTTTGGAACCGGATTTCCTCACATGGTTTTCATGGTACACCCTGAGTACCGGCCGTGCCGTATTCCCTCACAATTTGTGCCCAGGTCTGTCAAATCCATTAATTTTATTTGTATTTGTAAATATAATTAATTAAAGGACATTAGGCAACTTCAAGATTTTATTAACATATATTATAAGGTTCTTTAAACTTTTCTAGTTCACCTATGTTTCTAAGAAAGCAAAAATTAAATTTTAAATTGTAATTATCGATTAATCTATTTTATCGGTGTTGGTACTATTTTAATTTTAAATGTACTTTGTATAAGAAAAAAGTCTTTATGACGTAGTTTTTAAAGTCGACGTCTTTTCCACAGACTTTATGGCTTCAAAATCCACCCGCTTGCCTACCAGATCCAAGTCCAAGCTGCAGAAAGTAAGAAACCTTCTTCCCTGCGCACTTTTAACAACGGTAAACGCTAGGATCGCGCCAGGCCACGCCCAGCAGCGCATGAGCACCTCTAGCGTCCTCTGTAGCTGCTGTTGTAGATTTTAAACTAATGCTGGTGAAACTTGTTCTCTTAGGTAATGATGCTTCATTAAGAAAATAAGAAACTCAAGCTGGTTAGACAACTTGTTGAGTAATAACAAGTTTATGAATCATATTGGGACCAATGGTGTAAATTGGAATTGGTCTTTAGTATTTATTTTTTTAATGTAACTCAAGTTCCATTGTAGTTATGTGATTGTCAATGTATTTTTTTATATGGATTAAAGATACGACTATTTCTCTTTATCATAAAATAAATAAAATTGCCTATTCAGGAAGATACAAGGGGATGTTTATAATAAATTATATTTTTGGTAGAAGAATGTCAAGTCATTTTGAGTATAGGCTCTATTCACTATCTATCAAAAATTAAAAAGGTACAGTGCTCTCCAAACTTTTTGGCGCGGACGGTTGCGCAGAACGCAAGAAGCAGGACTTTTGCTTAAAATTGACAGTACCATGCGCAAGATGGCGGTAGCGGTAACTTCAGCCCGGCCGAAAAGTTTGCAGACAATTGTAATTAAATAAAACTACTCCAATATGGTAATTAGTTACCAATTTATTGAAGTACAAACACTCGAAACGTGTAAAGGTGTGACTTTTTGCAACCCATTTTAGGTTCTACCAGAAATTACAAAAATAGCCAAACTGAAAGAATCCTAATGTGAAACGCTTTGATCGCTTTGGCAATTGTTTTGATAGTTTATTTTTGTAAAGAAATTTTTGATATATCTATGTATAACTGACGTATGTAAAGGCATTAGAATATTGTGACGACTTGCATCATTCTCCATCCGCCTTTGAAGAGAGTAGAGAGTTTCTTGCAAATTCTTCTCGTTCGTTCCACTTTTTATGATAGAGAAGGACACACTTACATGGAATTCTCTCCATATGGAAGTCAAATTTTATCACAGCCATATAACATCGAAACCTGTGTGTTTTTCACGTATTTTCTATTTGGTGTTCTCATTAAACTTCACGGCCTTTTTGTCCGTCGATGGTGGTTCGTAACCCGGACGGAATTTTAATACATACCATATTTTTAATAACCATATTTCCAGGCGAAGACCACATGTTTCAAAAAAATATTAATCAAATGGTAGTACTTAAACTTAGTGTCTGATTTTGTAACATACATTGTCTGACGTTTATGAGTACTTAGTTAGGTGCACGAATAAATGACTTTGATATCTTGTTATTTAAATCTCTTTATCATTGTTTTTCACAAATCTTTAATATAAACTAGTTTTTGTCTATTACTCTGCTTGAGTTAAATCTGCTCTTTTCGATTGTGTAGTACAATTGGGATATCAATGTAAATATAAATACATATTATAAAACTCAAGTTTTTGTTTGAACGCGCTGTTATCGGGTACTACTGCTTCGAAATAAAAAAAATGTTTTTTGTGCGGAAGAAAGGCTTTAAGGCTATAAAACATCTCGCCGCGACGACGTCTGAACTAAGAAACAGATGGAAATGTGGAATAAACGGGGAAAATTATCCACCTTTCAGTTTCTGTTGCATGGGCTGCGAAAACGGTTCAACATACCCATAAATATGTATGATAGAATGATCTGAACATGCAACAAAGGACGCGAACGAAGATGTTGGTAACAGCTGTAAATTATAATTGGTTGCCAAAACAAATTTTGACTCCAAAAATAACTAATTTTGGGTCGTTGTACCAGCTGAAAATCATTGAAAATTTAAAATTTAAAACTACAATCTTTATTTAGTTTCCTATTTGAAAATACAATATTACATAGATTTATTGATGAGAAATCAATGCTACACAAGTTTTATGAAAGTATATTTATATTCACACCAAATCCACCAAAGGGCACCTTTGTAGAGATCGTTCGTAAAATTTAAAATTTAGGTTGAACGGCAAAAAGGGACGCTGTAGATGAGCCGCGTTATCCTTTATAATTTTTTAAATTTAAATTAACATATTTGGACTATCCATTGTAGGAACAATCATCTCAAAAACATATTATTTGCAATATATTTTTGCTGTTTATATAAAGTAGGGTAGCCTACTTTTTTTGTTACATACAATTAATATACTATGGAACACAACCACAGAGTTGATTCAACAAGGTTAAATTAAGATTGACATTGACACCTCTGAAGGTGTTGGACGTTTCTTTACAGTCAAACCATAGACAAATCTAGTCGCATCAAATTGAGTTTCTCCTTTATCAAACAGAATTCCTGCCGTCAAGCGTGGCTAATCAAGGTACAAAAAGGTGAGGCTTCTCCTGTGTTTAAGGAGATCTATATTCAGATTTCCACTATAATTTCCGTCCTAGCTCTGGTATAATATTGTCTAGTAATGAAAATAAATATAATTTAGGGGTTAACACTAAATATACTGGCCAAAACATAGGATCACTACACCTGAGACCTTTTCTTAATGTAAACGACGTTTTCTAAATTTTAATACAATGTGTAATTTTTAAAGAAAAATGAGCAGCTCGGAGGAGGTTACTTGGATTTCGTGGTTCTGCGGCCTCAGAGGAAATGAGTTCTTTTGCGAGGTATGTGATATAAATTAGCAATTTTATTATTTATGTATATTGCTTCCTAGTATTTATTTCCAACGTGTTTTAGGTAGACGAAGATTATATAAATGATAAATTCAACTTGACTGGACTCAATGAACAAGTACCACAATATAGACAAGCCTTGGATATGATATTGGATCTTGAAGCTGGTAAGCCACAGTAATTTAATTATTGTGACAGACTAACCGAGGAAACCTTTACAATCCATACAAACTATGCCAGAATAGGGGATTTTGTTTGATCATTTGTTGTTGTTTGATAGTACTTGCTTTTCAAACTCATTCTCTTACCATTTATTTTACATACATAACATATAAATACAAACAAATTTTCATTACACACAAATTACATCACATGCATATTCTGGTTTAAAGTGTTATTTGTGGCTTTAAGCAATATTTTTTAAACTAAAAATGGATATTGTACACCTAAAGGTTTTACAATGTTCATAGTTGCCTACTAGTTTATCAAAATAAATAGAACTTTGAATGATTTCTGAGCTAATTTTACATTTCAACTAGCTGTGCCAGCGACTTCGTCCGCGAGAATCGTTATTTTGGGCATCACAATTAGCTTTTGCAACCTGCTTCTTTATAAACTTAAGGTGTTATCCGCGACGTCGTACGCGTCCCTTCCCGTCGTTCTTGCAGTTAATCTTAAAAGAGACATCTTTCATCTCAGGAATCATTCTTTCATACACATTTTTTAGGTATCTTGAACCGTTGTCGCAGCGTACGCAACGGAAGCTTTCAAAGATGGATATATATGAAACATTGATTCTTCTTTAAATGATCTTTGAAAATGTCTACGACACTAATACGACCCTAAAATTATCTCGCAAGAACGAGGAAAACATTGTAGGTAACAGCTATTATTTATAAAGCTGAAAAGGTTGTTTGAAAAAACAAATATTCTTGTGTCTTATTAACTATATACCAAGTAGACACAGCTAGTATTCTTATATTTTGCCATACATCCTACCCCTTGGGAATGAGCCTGTTAGAGTTCATGTTTTATCATCATCTCAACCATCAATCATTCTATTTACAGATGATGACCTAGATGACAATCCAAACCAATCAGACCTCGTGGAGCAAGCTGCTGAAATGCTGTATGGATTAATTCATGCTCGTTATATCTTAACTAGCAGGTAAAGCTTTTCTTGTTACATAAACCTTTTTATTATGAGACTGCTAGAGCCAAAGTGTGCCACTTTACTTTACTTTAATAACAAAAAAAAAACATGATTTTCAATAAGAAGTCAAATAAAAATGTGCAATTAACTTTTATTTGTGTAAGAATTATGTTAGCAATTCAGTCACTGTGCTCTTGTAGATTAACATTTTGAGATTAGCGGCCTAGATTAGTGTATTTTTTCTTACTTGGTACACAAAAAAACTTATAAATAACCACAACACAAATATAGCCAAATTCATACCATATAGAGAACCAATGAGGACCTTATATAGAGTGAAGTTGTTGCCACATATGACACAGGGATAAGGAAAAAACTTATCTGCCCATTTACGTAAATAAATATTTAGGATCTTTATTAATTTTAACATTAAATTATGATTTTTACTAAGCGAATTTGAATAAGTTTAAATTATAATCTAGTCTCTCAAAGTGTTTTTAGTGTAAATCAATGTAAATCTTGTGAAAAAATCACGACTTCATATGAGTAAATTGTGTATTTGCTAAAAATGCCAATTAAGAAAAAATATACTATACATACATTACATAGAGTTTGTTGAAATATATTAATTCTGAAAGGGCTCCTCGTACCAATTGAAATTGCTGTCTAATAGTTATTTACTACTTGCTCCAAATTATAAAGATTGACTTCTTTCATACAAATTTAAAATAGAAAAATAAAACATACAAAATATCTTACTAAAACTATGACTTACAACTATTGACTATTACTAACTATTAATTAATTATTTTATAACAACCTATAATATAATAAACCAATGAAGTTTATAATAATATGAAATAAAGATCTGTGACTGTGCATATAAGGTATATTGGCCAAGTTTGCCTAGGTTTATTATTTTTTCTATTTCAGAGGAATAGGTCAAATGATGGAGAAGTTTCAATCAGGTGACTTTGGTCATTGCCCACGAGTCTACTGTGAATGTCAGCCAATGTTACCTATTGGTAAGTTAAAAGCATTTTTTGACGGGTTCGTCCTTCGTTACTAACCTATAACATTGTTTTATGTTTCTGAAACATGCTCCAACATGATTCAGATTAATTGTTATTATGTATTGTTAAGACTTTGACTGGATATTTGGATATCAAAGGGTGGTAGGAATAACGATATTCCGTCCGGGTTAGGAGCCATTATCCTAGCCGTGAAATGTAAACGCGTTTCGTCTAAAGCCAAAATTGGTATCATATAGCTGGGGTATTTTGCCTTCCAACGTGTGAACCCTAAGCTTTGTGTGTTCTCCTTTCACATAAAAAAAACATACAAATAAAGATACCGACATTGACTATGAAGAATTTTAAAGTTTATAACATTGAAAATGTTGTATTGTTGTATGGTATCTTTAAACCTTTCTGACATTTGGAATTGCTTATTTTAGTTCCTTGTTTTCTATGAGTCGGTCTATCCACAGGTCTTTCCGATGTCCCTGGCGAAGCCATGGTGAAGGTATACTGCCCTCGCTGTATGGACGTTTATACGCCGAAGTCTTCTCGCCACCACCACACAGACGGCGCTTATTTTGGAACCGGATTTCCTCATATGGTCTTCATGGTGCATCCTGAATATCGCCCGCGCCGTAATCCTTCACAATTTGTGCCCAGGTCTGTTTTATTTTCATTATTAATTTTGTTTCCTACTTATAAATAAAAACTAAAGGACCTATTACAAACTTAAAATTATATTATATTATATAAATAGAAAAGATGAACGCTGTCGCGTTGTGCATAGTTACAGCAATAAAACAATAAAAAATATATTTATATATTTCGTACTACACTAACAATTACAATGCTACAAATATTGTCGGTTATATCTTAGATACAAGAATTTCAAGTCTCAATGTTGGTTGCCTTACTCCTCCGATATAGCTTTACTTTTTTTTTACCAAATTTAATATGCATAAATGATAAGGGCTGTTCATGGTTTTTTTAACTTTTCGACATTTTTTTTCTATAGTTTGGCACATGCAACACGAAATTTTCTATCACCAACCCCCTTTTTTATAGTTGCTTTAGTAATTCAATAATTTTTCATCCTGCTCTATAACTGATAAATTATCATTTATTCGATGTTACTTCTCGCCCAGTAAACAGCACGGAATACGGATGAGACCGAAGCCGGTGTTGCCAGATCAATACACAATATAATTCCCTAGAAATTATTTGTTTGGCAAAACTAAGTTTGCTGGGTCAGCTACCATGTATATAAAATGGTATATGACAGATACTCTACCTTGATATGTCTTGCAGGTTATACGGCTTCAAAATCCACCCAGTCGCCTATCAGATCCAAGTCCAAGCCGCCGCCAGCAACAAGCCCTCTTCCCTGCGCACGCTCACTTTTAACAACGGTAAACGCTAAGACCGCGCCAGGCCACGCCCCCTGGCGCATACGTCCAGGCACTTCTAGCGACCTCTGTAGCTGCGATATTAAACTAATGCGGTTGAACCCAGCTCGCTTAAGGGATGTTGATTTGAATTGATCACAAGGTTGATTCTTTGTTTTTTACCATTCAAAATGACAAATGGTCTTATTTTCGAATCATATTGGGACCAATGGTTTAAATGGAATTTGGTCATTAAAAATTCTGAAAGTGAAAAGTGAAAAGTAATATCGCAGCTGTAGTACTTTTACGGGTAGCTTTCACGGAACGTCTTCAAATTGCGAAATATATAAAGAGCTATTTAAACTAAAAAAAGAGTGATGCTAAATTTCGCAATTATGAAGGTGGATTACAAAGCGGGGAATGTGGTCTTGAGTATTTAAATATTTAAATTCAACTTCATTCATTATCCAAAGCTAAGCTCCATTGTATTGTAGTTCACTAGAAAATGCAGTTTTTCATTCAAATAATTATAAGTAAATATACATAATATTATGACTTATGATGATAAAAATTTGTCGTTGACTTATGATTTAAAAATGAAATTCTTCATTTGGGATACTATAAGGAGCTGCCACAACCCTAATTTTGACAAATATAATCAAAATTATTGTAATTTTCACATTAATTGTTTGTCTGATTACTTTGCATGTTATGGCCATACTACAAGTATACTGTTAGGTAAAGTGATTGTACGTTAGTACAAAAAAAAATGTCCGTACAAATCAGACACATAGAAAATGTGTCGATCAGTATTTTGCGGGGCGAGGGTAGGAGGGTCTTACATTAAACACTTAACGGTTTAAAACGCGAATACTGGCACGATGTTTAGGTGGTTTTCCAGCAGTCGCGGTGGGGGGTACAACTAAAGGAGGGTGTCCCTAATGTTTGAAAATCGTGTAAATTCGTACTACTTTAATAATACTCGGATACGAGTTCCGAAACCCTTAAATTTACTATTTAAAAATGTAAATGTATTTCTGTTTATTTATCTCTTAGTGATAGGTTAATTGTAAAACAACTTAGTTGATATATATAATTTTAATTGTCTAGTGGATCGATAGACTAATGTATTAAATATAGGTTAAGATTGAGAATCGTAGAAAATCAACTTTTTCTTTACTTTTATACGTTGTCAATAAATATTACTTTTCCACTCGACTTGGTAAAATTTTCTCATAACGAAACACCAAATTTTTTATTGGGACACAAATAAAATATTGTTACTGTACTGGTTGCGTAATGTTAAATAAAGTATTATAATAACATAGAACGTCTTTTTTTCGCATATCCTGCATGGGTTTGAAAATTTAAATTCATAGAAGAATAAAGTGATATGAAGAAATTTGTATATCTATCTCTAATTGACAATTGACTAGTGTGTAACTAGCTATGCTGGCGAAAATTTTATTACTACAAAAACGGTTCTTGTGAACTTAAAAGAGAGACATATACTCTAACTTTTTAGATTATTTAAAACTAATTATTCTATACTTTATTTTTTGTTTCCACGCGCTTTTATCAGGAACTACGTAATGTGGAAAAAACGGGAAATGTTTCATCTTAGAATGCATTAAAAAGATGTTCCCGACACTATATCTCTATCTTTTAAGATTAATTTGCAAGAACGACGGGATGCGATCTAGGTCGTCGTGGGTAACTTTAAAGATGTACAAAACAAATTTGCATGCCCAAAATATCCATTCTACGAGGGCGAAGTCGCTGGCTCAGCTACTTATTCACAAACACATTGCACTCCAAAAATAGAAAGTAATATAATACCCTATGCATCATGTAAACATCTTATAGGTAGAACATTATTTGCTAAATATATTTTGTAGAATTTCATCCTTAGTCCATTTATATATATATGAACACATGTCGCTGTCTCAATTGGTCAGCGTGGCTTAAGGGCTGATGAATCCGGAAGAAAAAAACGTTGGCCCTGTTTTATTATTAAAGTTAATTTCGCAAAGCGCAGTCTGAAACCAAAACGCGATTAAACTTGACGAATTTTTCATCTGTAGACGGTGGTACCTGACCCGGACGGAATTTTAAATAGCCAGATTACCAGACGAAGTCAAAAATGTTTTGAAAAATATTGGTTCTGGTGGGGATCGAACCGCGTGGATTTTATTAGCCATAAGTACATTGTTACAATTACAGCAACGAGTGTCAATGTGTTATTTATTTAAAAATTCGAACATCATATTTTTTTCGTATGATTTAGTTAATAAGTCCGTAACATCTGTAAAATAATAATTAAAATCAAATATTTGTTTGCACAGAAACGAAGACATCCAGCAACGTCCCAAAATAATGGATTTTCCAAGGCTACGTCTATATTTTTATTTATTTGAAGTAAAATTTAGGAATTCCCAAGGAATAAAGTTTAATTTTATGCTTTTAATTTGTTTTAACTATTAAACCTTTTGGGCGCTTATTATGTACTTACATTTTTTTTTGTATTAAGTGTTAGTATTTCTGCCCGACGTTTGATGAGATCCTATATTTTTTGGTTTAAAAATATTTATAGCAGAAGTAACAGCGGAATACGTGTAGTTTAATAATAAACATTTATGACAAAGAAGGGCAGGCAAGTAATGGGGTTTACACGATGGAAGGTGAAACCTCCGCCAATCTCATTAAACATCTAATTAAGATGCGATGTCGCCTTTTTTTGCGTTGGGCATACGGAAATACACAGGCTGTAACTTCACGGAATTTTGTACTTTGTGATCTTTCAGTCAAATTATTATTTAACACCTTAAATGTCTATAGTTTATAGATTTGATTACCCCTTTATAACTAGTCTTAACAATATAAAGGGCTAATCAGATCAACGACCCATTGGTTATCAGCTATTGTTTGCTATTACTGGCCCAACAATGCTAGCAATGATTATAGTCCTTTGGCGCAAGAGACTAGAAGATGTTAAGGCTATACTTCTGAGAGGCCGTGCAAATTTGACTTTTGTAATGCCACTACCGATATGGAAGCACAAGGAAAATAGGGTTCGGCTACACTGTGGGCAGTAAGGTCAGAACATTCACTGCAGATTGCGCCAACGTCAGTCTGTACCGAACCACCTGTGTGTGCGCATGTCGCTCCGCGCCGCAAACATCGCGACCCCACCGCCAACGTGCCGTTAGTGTTTCATAATATTGTGATTGTTTATTTTTAAATAGAAGTGACAGCTGTGGAACACAAGGAGTTTGAGGTTTGTTATCGATAATTAATATAGAATAGTATAGTCATTTGCGAAAGGGTTTTTCTCGAAGTGAAGGTAAATATCTAGTTGTCTATGCATCAGCGCGCAATTAGATTCCTGTTAGATTCACAAAGATTGCATTCATGTTGTAAATCCTAAGGAAAGATATAAAAATACTGATTTATATATAAAATATATAGACGGAGGTAGTTGTTATTTTATGTACTGAATAGTAGTAATTAGTTGCGCGTTTATTTTCTTTATACTTGTGTATGTAACGGGATACTTCTAAACGTACCCTTGATCTCTGGAACTTGTAGTGTTCAATTAAAAAGCTTTCTTGTACTAAATAAGTAATAATTATTATACAAGAAACTATGTACTTACTTTAAACAATTTTTTTTCGCTTTACTGAAAAATATGTACGTAAATTCTACGTACAAAACCATAACAAAGTTTAAGTTGAGAAAATAATGTTAAAGAGCATAATAATCATAAAAAATTATATATCTTCTATATAAAATTCGTATATTAATTTTGCTAAAATGAAAAAGCTCTTGATTGCAGAAGATTGTGTTAAAACAAAACCGAAATCGTCGAAAATAATCTGTGATAATTCTACAGATTATAATATAATACTAAACAATAATTATAAAAAAAGCGGTTAAAATCTGAAGCAACCCATTTAGTGAGTACCTAAGATGCCATCAATGTAAGACTTTTTACATTTCCGTTTGGTATCTGTTGCCCAATATTTGGCCGGCGCGAGTTGTGTAATGCTTAGCACAATTATACAAGACCGTGGGTTCAGTAATACAGTCGTGTTCACATTCGAATGTTTGTGTATGGTTATTGACATCCGATGGAGATCATATTAACCAAATAATCTCAATGAAACGGAATTCGTCTAGTTGTTTTTGTAAGAAGTTTTGAATAGAATACAATAAAAACTTCTTAAAGTAAAATCATACGTTCAAATGAAAAACGTACACATGATAATTTTGATCAGGTTAACTTATTTAAATAAAACACACTTAACGGTTTAAAACGCGATATATTAGTTAAACTTATTTGGAAATGATTGAACTTCGGCACGACGTTTCGGATGCTTTGCAGCAGCCGTGGTCACGGGGAGAAGTTAACCTATTTATAAATAAACCACTTTAATCGCTGCAAAGCAGTTAAAGTTTTATTTAAATATTACTCATTGATTGTCAAAAAGTTGAGATTAACTGTGATTAGATTTTATTAAATGAGACTTCTGATAACTATAAATACAACTGAAGACAAATTTAAGAATGTCCCACATTAAGGACAATACAAATATTCAGCATGTATGTTTTCATAATTGTATATATTATATATATAGAGAGCTAAATTAAAACATTTTATCCAATTTCTTGGCTTTAAATTTTTATTTTATTGCATACAGCAATAAGGATTAGGAAAAAGTTTGTTTATCTATAAGAATATTGCGGTCGAATTAATTACAGAGATAAGAATCGCTTAAGACAATGAATGGTACGGGAAGCTAAACAACTCATCAAAAGATTTTGTGGTTTTTGTGATATCTAGTTTTGTCTTCGCGTTGGAGCACAAAAGTAATTAATACTTATTTAGTCTCAGTGTGTTGTACAAAACCGTCGGCAATTAAAAAAAAAAGAATTATAATATAATTGATTATTTCAGTATTTGAAAAACATCTGCATTGTAAATTCCATCGCAATTAATCCCTTACGTTTTAGTGTTTGGCACACAAAGGATAGA